CTGGAAATATTTTCTCCCACTAGAAGCACCTGGCACTTTCGTCGCTGATAAAATACCCAGAATTCCAAAGAAACAACATTGTACATTCACTGCACAAGTAGAGTCATCGGAAACTCACATTCCACTGCCTTCCACCACCAGGCTGTGCCCTTCATCCCATCTCACTGCTGCTAGGCATGATGTTGCTACTCACTGGAGAGTTCTTTCTGGCCCCTCCATGCAGCAATTCAAAAACATCTATTCACCTTAACATCTTGAATTTATATACTATGGGTTGGGTAGAAAAGATGAAATAACCTTAATTATTTAATAGATATTTGGGAGAGGTGGCAATTTCTACCTTACGTCTCAATCTCTAAATTCCTCATACTTTGAGAAATGGTGTCTTTCTCATATGATTTCATCCCAAACTAACTCCAAAACAAGTTCTTGATCTCTTGTTTTCCTTTTAAAATTTGATAGCAGTGAGAGTCTCCTTTTGTTAAATATACTCCTCCCCCTCTTCCCTCAGTCTATGGTATAAACATCTGACCCTGTGAAACCCATTCATGAATTCTACTTTAGCAGCCTCAAAGGCTGCTATGTTATTTTTTTGAAAAACAAACTGTATTTATTATAGATATGAACTTTTAAAAGATACACCAGGATTTTCCTAACTGATTTTGGTGATGCGATATAAGTAACGGTTTTAGAGCAAACAGAGGTGTTTACTATCTGAGAACAGGCACAGCCTTGTAGTGTTCAGGAATCCACTTTTTAATTTACTCACCCTGCAGGAACTTTTTGCTTTAGGGGTTAAATGTGAAACTATAAACAGTCATTAAAACACAAAACAACCATCGCAGTTAACCGGATATTAAGAAGAAAAAAAATCACATCTGTTTTAGAGTTCTCTTCCATCCGCAAATTCAGGAACATCAATTTCAAGAACCTGGTTTTATGGCATGCCCTTCAGCAAAGAACACCAGTTTGCAATCAAGGCAAGAAAGGCAAGGCGTCCCAGAAGCGGATTCTCGCTGCAATAGCTTGCTCCCAGGCTTCTCTCTCTTTAATTCAGAAACAGTCAGTGGAATTAGATTTTTCTATAGCCTTGAAAGAAACACAGTCATTACTAATTGGACATTAATAATTATGCTACTCTGGCTACTCCGATTAACTGGATATGAAAAGAGGAAGAAAGGGAACAAAATTGCATGCTGTGTACCGGCCGGGACTATAAAACCATGAGGTTTGGTGGCTTTTCATTATCCAAAGAACTTGAAGCTTGCAGAGAATCTGGTATTTCTAATTTAAATCCTTTTTAAAGCTCCAACTTGTGTGAGGACATACCTCTTACATAAGCACTCTGTAATCATTTAACTGGCTAGAAAACAAGTGCAACTTTTCCAACTTGTCAAAAACACATCTCTGGGCATCAGTGAAAACTCTTCCCTCTATAGTAAGAATAATGAAGTGCAACTAAAAATAACAGTCATCAACTGTGGTTTAAAAGGCAATAATTCAATATAATCAAATGTGTCAACCACTCATCCTTACAGCTTCTCATGCTCTGGGTTATGAGTAAGTTTCATTTCTTGGGGATGATTGAACATAACCCACTTGGGGCTCTGCCATCTGTGAATTGCTTACATGTGAACATTCTGTTTAAGAGATGGAAATTTTGATTGTATTCTTCCTTTGGATATTGAGATGCAGTGCAATTGAAGAGAGTTTCTCAAGCAATTAGTTTTTCATATTAGTTGCTGCATGAGTACATTATCGCACACTCCCCATATTCATCATCATTTATCAAACCACAGGAATCAAGTATGGTGTGGCTGAAGTTGGGGAGGAAGCCAGTGGAATTATGGAATCTGAGAGGCTCCACATTGCCCTGGGCTCAGGCTCTCGCTACAAAGAGCCCTCTCTGAAGTGTACCCCGAGGGGAGAGCTGTCTTTTTGTTCCCAGGGCTTCCTTGAAAGACCACTCCTTTTATCACTGAGCAAACAATGAAAGTGACTATAGGCTACAGTGTAAGGTGCCACATAATTTGTCATCCATACATGAACACCTCCGAGAGTTAGTGGGGACACTGTTAATAATTATGCCAGAACAACAGGCATGGACTAGGACTGCCCCAGGCAAACCTAATCATACTGCCACCACCAGAGTTGACGTGTAACTCAAATAACTCCTCCCCAGGGTCTCTCGCCATTTCATTAATGCGATATCCAATTCTGCTCGGTCCAATATAAATGGGATGTGATCCACACATATAATTTTAAAATTCCTGGTAGAAATGTTTTTTTTTTTTTAATAAACAAAGGTAGGTGAAAATAATTTTAGTAACATTTTATTCAACCCAATATATCCAAGCATAATATCATTTCAACATGTAGTCAATATGAAAATTTTAATGACATATTTCACCTTAGTTTTCATATTGCAATCCTTGAAATCCATGATGCATGTTACACTTAACACCATATGTTTGGTGCTCAATAGCCCCACGTATCAGTGACTATGCAATTGGATGATACAGTTTTAAGAAATCTATGTGTTTGGATAGGCAGGAATAAAATAGAATTATAATACACTCATACAGCCCTGCTGGTGTGGCTCAGTAGTTGAGTGTTCACCTATCAATTCCAAGTCACAGTTCAATTCCAGGTCAAGGCACATGCCTGCGTTTCTGGCTTGATCCCCAGTGTGGGGCATGCAGAAAGCAACCAATCAATGTTTCTCTCTCATCACTGATGTTTCTCTCTCTCTCTCTCTCTCTCTCTCTCTCTCTCTCTCTCTCTCTCTCTCTCTCTCTCCCCTTCTCTAAAATTATTACAAATATATTTTTAAAAATATACCCAGGCACTCACATATTTTTCTTCTAGGTAAAAATAGATGCATCTAGATGCCTTCAGGTACTGACTTTGTCTTCCTTCACACTAGGACAGTTAAACTGTCTGAACCAGACACTGGAGCAGGTAAACCTTAGCCCAGTTCATCCTTAGCAGAAAGAATGGTTGAATTAGAAAAGCCAGGTAATTGCTAAGAACTTCTAAGACTTTCCCCAGATTAATATGTGTCTTGCATTCCTAAATACAACACATACACACTGAGCACCCCCAGGTACTCTGAACTAGAAAGAAAGAGATCAGAAAGGAACAATGCCTGCACCTTAGACTGCGAATGCTTCAACTTCGCACGGAGAGTACTTCCCCACGGAAGCTCAAAGAGCCTGGGCCGTGCCACTGCTCTGCGGCCAGGCGAGGACCAGACTCTGTTCTTTGGTTTCAAGTTTACACTTCACCATCCACAGGAGCCCTGTGAGCAAAGGAGGAAACGGCCTATTCCTCTCACTCTGGCACATGTGGCCCTGGCTCATGTTTGATAACCTGAATGTTGTTAGGTAAGAGCATCTGGGGTGTCAGCATTGCTTCTTGGATCAGGACTTGCATCTCTGTTAGTAACACTGTATCTCTCACTCCAACTCCTCCACTTAGAACTCATTGGTATCATATTTTGGTAAGGATACATAGGTACATGGAACAGATTGGTGACATTCCGCATGTAAATGATGGTAACACAGTCAGATATGCTCTTATTTTAAAGTATATTGACATTACACAAATAAGCCGTAAGTTGTAGTTTTTCTCTTTGATGTAATTATTATCTCATTTATATAGTTCTTTTCCCCCTCCAATCCAATATACTTAGGCTTACCACAGTCCCAGTTCATGTGTGTTAAATGCACACATACAAGCACACACAAACACACATCATGCCACATACTGGTTCAATTTATACTAATCATTTCAGTAGAACACATACACCTACTTTTTATTAAAGTAATTTTCATTAAATATATTTCTTTAAAAAGATGTGGAGTAAAAAATATTACATCTAAAATACTTCCAGGATATTTTCTTCCTTTGTTCACAGAGCAAAAAATATGCTAAAATATTGCCATTAACCTATTAGTAACTGCCAATGATTTGATATACTGACTCCTCCCTCAAACACAGTGGTACAGGTTCTTAATAAAATTTTATACAAAACTGGGAGAGTCCATTTAGCTCATTCAGCATCCTTATATCCTTGCAAATATTGCCTTTTTTTCTTAAGGTGTTATAGACAGTGAGACTTAAAATGGGCTAGAGCCTCATTTCTCAGAGTCCTTTTAATATGGTACCATCAAATCTGAAGACCACTTATTTCAAAGATATGTCGCCTTTAACTGAGATCTATCATTGCAAAGGATAAACACAATCACAACTCTTCAAAGCCACTCAGGATTTAGCAGAAAGACCCCACAGTCCCAAGTGGAAGAAGGACTTTATTTCTTTAGGAAACTATTCTTCATTTAATCTATCATCGTATAGGTACAACATACAAGTATATCTGGTTAGAAGCACTTTTGGCATGGCATTTTATTTTTCTTTGATTTCACTGTTGAGTTCCAGAAACCCAGTACTGGCACCATATAGCCATAATATGCTTTGTCTTGAAACTATAACACCACTTACCATCTTCCAGTTTCAGAAGCATTTCCATGGCATGCTGACTATACCAGTTGCATTCTTGGGCATTAAGAAGCAGGAGGAGGAAGGCAGTCAGCAGCATAGTACACTGGTCAAAAGCAGGGACTTAGGAGCCAAACCACCTGGGTTAAGTCTTAGCTCTGTCACTTGCTAGCTGAGACCTTAGACAACTCACTAAACCTTCCTCTGCCTCCAACTTTTGCATCAGCAAAATGAAGACAAAAACGTGTTCTCCCTTTAATACCCTGGCTCATAGCACTTGAGGTAAAGCACTTAACACACTCCTGGGCACATAATTAGTGCTTTATAAACAAATGCTATCATTATAACTATACACTAGTAATAGCTCATACTAGCTATTATTATAACTAATACTATATACCTTATCAAAAGATCTCAAATTGTCCATGTACTTAAGACTGCAAATCTATGGGTAAGGCACTTTGACCTTTCCGCAGAAATGCAAGAGGCAGGATACTTACTGGAATAGCAGGTTTCAGATTCTGGCCACTGGGGTGTGAAGCAGTTGGCTGGGCATCAGCAGGTGGGCCTGGCGCTGGGTCACTGCTTCTCCTCACCAGCAGTGGAGTGCCTGGGGGACAAAGTAAGAGGTGAGAGGTCAAGAGAACCCTGGGGGGAAGAGAGTGCATGGTACAATGCAATTTAATTAAAAAGGTTTACAACATGCTTTCATGTAAAAACATTGTTTCTCAAGAATGCTTGTAAATTAACCCATTTAATGATCTTTTGTCATTTATTCCTAGACTGACACATGGGAATGAAATCTTTCAGTCCTCATCTTTCCCCACTTGCATTTCAAAACAAGTCATTGTACTTAAGCCAGAGCTGGTAGGCAAAGCAACACAGACCGTGTGCAATGTAAAACTAACCTAGAAAATCTAGTTGGGGATTGAAAAGAATGATTATCTAGCAGCCTGGTAGAGGGGTTCACACAGTTGATGCAATTTGCTATTCAGTAGAGCTAGAAGTATAGCTATTGCTGCCATTCCGGGCTTCCCATCTTCTGAATGATGACATATATAGAAATAAATTATTTGCTGGGGTTACAGCATTAATGTCTATTTAAGTACACAAAGAGATAGCTTCCATTCCCTTCCTTTCTCCTAAAGCAGATAAAACTGATATGGAAAATAAGTTACTTCTTCTAAAAATATATCCTGATTTCTTTTTAATTTAATGAAAGCTCCCACTATTAAATATTTGAGTCAGTTATTAAATTCTGAAAAGAGAGATCATACTATTAGAAAGTTCAAATGAAATTCAACCTTAGCAGAGCTAGTGGCCTAACTATTCTGCTTGCAATTAGGCCTAAAATAATTTGTTTCATATAAAATTGGCCACTATAGAGGAAACGCTAAAAAAAAAAATCCATTTGTGGTTTAAAATTGCTCTCATATAAAAATTAACTTTTTATTTGTGTACTTTTGAGGAAAAAAGCAGAAAACAGTAGAAATGCAATTCCCTGTTAATCAATATTGTGAAACTAATTCCCCAACTCTTTCAAGCTTTTGCAGTTTAAAATAAAATTTTCCATACTTCATTTTTATAGCACAGTAATAATAAGTAAATCTATTTGGAACTATTTATAAATCCAAGTTTTCTATGTGTCCCAACATTCTTATTCTGTGTATGAAATCTAGACTTGCCAATACTTTCATCCTTGTTTAGATAAAAGTTGCTTTTTAATAAAATAAGTTATTTTATGGTAAGAAATTATCATGCTACTTAGGATGAAACACCACACTAAAATGTATTATCAATTCCAGTTCACATTCAAATAATTATTTCTAATTAGTACAGTTGACTACATTATTCCTCAACTTCTCTATCTCCATCTAAAATTTTTCTCAAGCAAGTATTATAGTAATAGCACCTATGTTCTCAAATGAAACAGTTACAAACAAGAAAAGTAGAAGCAATACAAAGTACCACCAAATCTCAAATCCTCAGAGCCCCAGTCCTGCACCACTGTATGTTCCCTCCTTCAGCTAAACTGAAGACTAACTGCTTCTCAGGCGAAGCCCTGGATTACCATGAACTTGAAGTGAGCAAGTCAGTCTAAATGTGATGATATCCTCAGAAGTAACCCGCGATCTTTATTTTTTATTTATTTATTTATTATTTATTTTTAATATATTTTATTAATTTTTTTGCCCCCCATCCCTCCCTCCCATACATACCCTCCCTCCCTGTATGGGAGGGAGGGAGGGTTTTATGTCCATTGGTTGTACTTATATGCATGTATACAAGTCCTTCGGTTGATCTATTATCTCCCTTAGATCTTCCTCCCCTCCCCACTGTAATTTGACAGTCTGCTTGTTGCTTTACTGTCTCTATATCTTTTGGTTTATCAGTTTATAATGTTCTTTATTATCCATAAATGAGTGAGGTCATGTGATGTTTCTCTTTCATTGATTGGCTTATTTCACTCAACATGATGTTCTCCAATTCCATCCAGGTTGCTGCAAATGATGAGAATTCCTTCTTTTTTATGGCAGCATAGTATTCCATTGTGTAGATGTACCAAGGTTTTTTGATCCAATCATCTGCTGATGGGCACCTAGGCTGTTTCCAAATTCTGGCTATTGTAGACTGTGCTGCTATGAACATAGGGGTGCATATATCCTTTTTGATTGGTGTTTCTAGTTTCTTGGGATATATTCCTAGAAGTGTAACCCGCTATCTTTAAAACAAAGAAGAGAAGGAGGCAAATGCTTGTTTTTAAGCATTTGAAATAGACCGGTACACTGCATGTCAAATTGGAGAAAAACAAATAAATAAAATATAACAATAAATTAAATGCAGGTAAAACCACCATGATATACTGAAGTCAGAAAAGAAAGTTTTTGCCCTGACCAGTTTGGCTCAGTGGATATAGCACCGGCCTGTGGGCTGAAGGGTCCCAGGTTCGATTCCAGTCAAGGGCATGTACCTTGGCTGCAGGCACATCCCTAGTGTGGGGTGTGCAGGAGGCAGCTGATGGATGTTTCTCTCTAATCGATGTTTCTAACTCTATCTCTCTCCCTTCCTCTCTGTAAAAAATCAATAAATACATATTAGAAAAGAAATTATTTAAAAAAGAAATTATTTTAGAAGCAAAGAAAAAATTTGAGGGAATGATAATTTTAGTTATATTGTGTTTTCAGCTGGTTCACATACATATATATGAATATGTATATTATATGTGTGCATATGTTTATGTACTCATGAAAAAGACCTGTTATTTTTCTTGGGTGATAAGTATACTTTTCTTAAAGAAGCCATGCCAGATAGCTTTCCTTCAGTTTTAAGGACCCAACCAAGACTCCTCACTATTTGTCAATCCTGGCTGTTTTAATAACAAACTGTCATCATTGGAGACAATTTTATAACAACACATAGTTGGACCTCTGTATCCATCAGTAGACAGTAATATTATAGTGCATCTCCCCTAAGAAGACAGCCAAGCTCTGTGCCAGGGTCCCAACCACTCAGGACATAAACAAACCGTGAGATGACTAGGTCTTTCTTAAGCATGCAACTCATTAGGAATAAGTTTGTTTTTTCCTCCACTTTTTCTGCATTCCACACATTAATGTCTCCTGTTGAGTTGCCTTCTCATCTTTTGTTGGCTGCCTTAACGTGTTAATAACACATACAAATCATTTCATATTAGAATTAACAATGAGCATCTTTAAATACAAGCTGCTATCTCAGAGAGTTTTACACAACTCTTACTTTTTAAATGGACCAAGCCCCATCTGAAGGTGGTTGTTGAACCAGAACAAATTCCTGACTTAAAGACAAAGAAAGCATAGAACCAGAGGCACATAATTTGAAGTGCTGACGATGATTTGGGCCAGTCCTTGGACACGTGTAATAGAGAAAATGGCACACCTCACAAGCAAGACTACCTAAATTAAGAGGAAAACCACTAATCTGGTTTTATGGGATCTCCTGGGGGAGGAGGAGGAAATTACTTAACCCCTGCAATGAAGGAGCTTATAACCTATCAGTAAGATTAGGAGCCAGCACTAAGAACTATCACGTGTTGATTCAGTGGAGGGACCACGGGTTTGGGGGTCAAATAGACTGAGCTTCACCTGTGGCTCTTTGACAATGAGCTGCTCAGTGACACAATCTCCTCACTTAAAACCCGGTAATAACCACACACCACAGATTTCATGGGAGGTGGAGGCGAAGGCGGAGATAAAAGAAGGCAGGCACCATACAGCCTTGTATCTAATTTTCACGCAGGAAATCCCCCTTCCCCAATAAAAAAGGAGGAATGGTATCCGCTCTTGTTGTAAACAGTGCTATCTGCTCAAAAAGCTGAACCTGAAAGTCAAGGTAATTTTCATGGAATAATACGCAAATTAAAATAGAACAGAATTTTTTTGCTTAGCCAGGTATAGCCTTATTATAGAAATCAAAGTTTTTAGGGGGGAAAATGATGGTATGGAAAGATACTTCAAAAATGGAAAAAGAAAACATGCTGTGCATTGGTATTTTTTTTTAGCTAATTGAGAAAAGACTCAGATTTCAGAGGCAAAAATCCTCACTTCGGCGCAAGAGCATAGCAGTATTGCTCACATTCATAGTTGAAAAGCCAGTGGCTATAAAACCCACGTAAGAAATGTTATGCATTTTAAAGCATGAAGTCCTATACAGACAACTGCATTATATTTTTCCACACAGTTAAGCTTTTGAGGCCTCATGCTATATCAAGAACTCCACTAAGAGAGGGAGATAATAAGATGAGTAGTCATGATACTTACTCTAGGTTATCTATTACAGAAAGAGATGTGGTGCCTGGCCAGTGTGCTCAGTGGTTACAGTGTCCACCCCATGCACTGTAATTACACGGGAGGTTTGATTCCCAGTCAAGAGCACGTACCTGGGTTACATGCTTGATCCTCAGCCCCAGTCAAGATGCGTGTAAAAGGCAACTAATTGGTGAGTCTTCCTCACATCAGTGTTTCTCTCTCTTTCCACCCTCCCTTCTACTCTCTCTAATAATCAATGGAAAAAATATCCTCAGGGAGGGTTAACAAAAAAAAAAAAAAGGAGATGCAAGGACAGAGAACATTTAATACATTTAGCAAGTGCAGTGTTCTGGGAGGCGGTGTATGGTTTATTTAATTGAACCAATGAACACACACACTATAATCCAGTCCCATTTTATTTATCCAGAAGACAGAAAGTTAATGGAAACCAAAGAGGAGCTATGACCCTCCAGGGGAGTTTCTGACTAGGAGTATAAGGCTGGCGACTCTGCCCCTACAAGATAGGGTTTTCCCTCATCACAAAAGTTCAATTCTTTCTGGAGCAATGCTCATGTATATTCAGGACTTAGGTTACACTCAGGAGAGATTTACTCACACTCTCATGTTCTTCCCTTTAAGGAGATGACTACATTCATCAGGGTCTCCCAGGCCTAGAGCCGCAAGCATTGGCCTCAGTTCCCAGGTGCCTATGAATGATGGCGTGTTTTCTAATTCTCAAGCAGTTACCATTTTAATGATAGTAAAATCAGAATCAAAAGGGGAACAGTTACTTGTCCAATGTCCCCTACAAATGGAACTAAGGGAC